CGCTATGAGGCTGGAGAGAGGACACAAAAAAGCGAGATCAGACTGGACTTTGAGTAGGGAAGTCTGAGCCGAGGCAGCAAAGAATTTGCTCGGGTGACTTTGGGAAGGTAAAACAGAGGGGGGTGCGAAGATGGGATTCCAGAAGTGGGGGGCGTTTTGAAACAGGGAATAAGAAAACAAAGGGAGTCTCTCTTGGAGGGGAGATGAGAAATGCCTGGATAAGGGGGAAAATTTAGCCCCCCCCTTTGAGGTAATGGTTTCCCCCTCGTTTTAAATAGACTTGACAAGGCGAGGTACGAAGGGTGAGCCTCATGACAATCAGGCAAGAGGGAGGTGTTCAAGACGTTTAGAATGGTATCGGCACCACAGACTGGGGATTCGGGGATGTCTGAATATTTGTGGATGGCCAAATCGCCCGCAATTTTACAGTTGCGGTGTAGGGGTCCCTTTCGAAATTGAACTAGTCCCGTAAATCACTGAGGATGGGGTTCAGGCTGTCAAAAGTTAAAAAAGCCACATTGCTAGGGTAGTTCCCCCCGGGGAGGAAGAACATAAGGTTTTACCCTTGAGGGTTTGGGAAAATCTTGGGGTTCCAGTGTTCAGAATGGTCAGTGCCAATGTCTGGAAATTTTGTTGAACTTGGTATGGGGCAGAATGACGGTCCACTACAAGAATTGAGGGAATGATGCTTTTCAATAGTTACAGGAACAGTATCGATATGGGAAAGACGAGAAAGCTCATGAGCCTGGGTAGCATTCTGTACAGTGACGATGCGAGTACCGCTCTTAAGAGCATGAAAAGAAATATCTTTACCAACATGGCGTAGGAGTGCCTTGCCAATACTGTGGTCAGAAAGATAGGCAGTAGAGGAAGTCGGTCGCAAAGTGAAGAATTTAGTCCATTGTGCAGTCTGAAACTGAGCGTGGAAAGGTAGTGAAGGACGTGTCGATCTTTTCTGAGAAGAACGAGAAGGTGGAGAAGTATCATCAGCAGGTAATTGTCATTGGCGTTTAGGCGTGGGACCAGAGTTGGTCTGACGTGGAACGGGCCGGCGATTCGAAAATTGCTGCACCGTAGAGGGAGAGGCCGGAAGCATAGTCAGAGGAGAGCGAAGGTCAGATAAATCGAAGGAGTCAGTCGAGGCCTCAGTTCCTGAAGCGGGTGAGGAAACAGCACCGGCAAGAGGTATAGAGGCATGAGGAGTGTCCGAAGAGTGGTCCAAAGACGAGGCGGGGTCAGAACGGGGTGCGGTATCAAGAAGGGGCCCGGGGAGTAGCAGGTTCATGGACTAGGGCTGCCATGGTTAGGTTACTTCTTTCTTTTTGTTTTTAAGAAAAAAAAGAAAGAAGAAAAGAAAATAAAAATAAAAAAAAAAGAATAAAAAAAGGGGGGACCGGGGAGGGATAGTTCCTAGGAGGAATGAAAGGGCCAGAAATCTCCCTCCGTGCCCAAGAGGACTCAGCACCGCAAGTAGTGCAGATTGCAGCATGGAACCGTGCCATACCCTACCATCATGCCAGTAAACCGGCAATTCGGGATAGCAACCTCACATCTGCCGAGCTACCTCGGTGGACAAAGAGAGGGGGGGCCAGAAATCCGCCACAAAGCATACCTCCTTCGGCCACCACCCCCGGAATCCGAAAGTTGGCTTCCAGAGATACACCCGTCGCCCGAGAGACACCCAAAGCCACCCTCCGGGATACCGGAGAGGGATCAGGACATCCCCAGGCAATCCAGATTCCACTGCAAACTACGCCACCGCCAAGAACCTCAACGGAATGGGATGGACCCCGGTACCCTTTCCCCTACCTAGGAACTAGCGTGCCTGTGGGAAAAAAAAAAAAAAAAAAACCAAAGGCCAAAAAGGAAGGGCAAAAGGGAGGGGTGGGGAGGAGGAGGAGGAAAGGAAAAAAGGGGAGGATGGGATAGGGAACGGGGGATTGGGGGGTAATTAGGTTCGGTCTGAGGAAGTAGACCGACAGGTCTAATTCCTCAGACCAAGAGCCTCTTCACCACGCCAAGGAGCCCCCCTTGAAGAGGTAATAACAGAATAGATGTTAAGGAAGAAACCAGAAATGCAACATCTGGAATAAATAATGCTCGAGGAGGAGAGAGAGATAAAGAACAGACTGTATACCACATCGTCAAGTAGATGTGGACTGCAGTGTATTGCAGCTAAGTATGAACAAAGATTTGATAATATGGTATACGGATACGTACAAGATGTGCACTTTCATTAAAAGCTCCATCGGTATAACGATCCGAGTAATGCAATAAAACATAGCCCAAGACAGGATGGAAAAACAGCAGAACGTAATTTAGGTTCCTGTAAACAGACACAAACAGGAAAAAACTGGGAAAGCAATACCTGAAGCTCACCCTGATTACCCCTGAGGCCTTGAATATTCCACTGCAAATAAATCATGATTTGGGAGAAATATACCAGTAACATGAAGCAGTAGGTGTCTACAGACAAGTAGGGTTATCAAAGTCTACATGTGGAGGTAGTGGAAAACGAGTAAGCAGCAAGGAACTGGAACGCTGCAAAGAAGAGTTGTACAGATGGTTTAGACGAGTGAGGAGGAGCGATGGGAGATGGATCAGTGTCCATAAACGGTTTTGTCTCCTCAATATATTCGGAGATAGCTTCAAGTGTTTCACAAGACAAGGAAGTTGCATGTAGTATGACATCAGAGATAGAAGAGGGAGAGTGAGATGGAAGGTGATGGAAGTTACCAAAGAAGGGGGGGGTGAAAGTATAGAGTTAACTTGGGAGGGGACAGGAGAGAAGACTGTGCGAGGGGAAGGATGACCCACCACACTCATAACAGAGCTAGTAAGAGGGAAAGAACTAGGTACAGAGACTGGAAAGGAAAAATGTTTGGGAAGGACGTGTGAAAGAGGGGTAAAAGAAGATTTAAATTTTGGGGACGTTTTAGACTTTGGGGAAGTAGAGAGATGAAGGGAAGGTGTAGTTATGCGAGGTCTTGTAAACATAAAAAAAATGCAAATGTGATGAAGATTCAAGGATAATATTAGGGTTCGAGGTAGGGACCTCGGAGGCTAGAACTGCAAGAGAGTTAGAGGCAGAGGTGACACTAGAGGGAGATCGGGGAAGTAGGTGCTACTGAAGTTGGAGGCCTCTTAGTAAATCTAGATTAAGAAAATCGTGGAAGATTTCCTGGAAGATTTCCCTTCTTTCTCTTTGAGACAACGAAAATTCCTGTCTTGTTAGGTAAACTTGGCAAAATTCGAGAATAAGCGGGTGAGCCTATTACAATTAAGGCAAGAGGGAGCCAGGCTGCAGGATGTATTTGCATGGTCGGCAGCACCACAAACTGGGCACTCTGTCATGGACCTGCAATAGTTTGCTGCGTGGCCAAAGTGCCAGCAATTTCTGCACTGTTGTGATGTAGGGATCAACTCTGACTTGGAGACGGAGTCCTGCAATATAAATTGAGGATGGAAGTTCTCGGCAGTCAAAAGTTAAGTGAGCTACATTGCGGGGAAAGTGTCTCTGCATGGGGCATCTGGTACACAAGTGTCCACTTTGAGAATTGGGAGATCTTGGACCTCAAGTTGCTCCAGACTGTCGGCATCACATGTCCGGAAATCATGCTAAACAATGGTATGAGGAAGAAATACGGTACCAGTGCAAGAATTGAGAGAAATGTGTTTTCGAATTGTGACAGGAATATCATCCCTGGAGGTAAGAAAGGAAAGATTGTCAGCCTGGCTAGCATTTTGTACGGTGATGATGTGTGCACCACTCTTGAGAGCATGAAATGAAATATTTTGACTAACATGGCGCAAGAGTGCCTTGTTGATACTATGATCTGAAAGATAGTAGGAGACATATGTCAGCTGCAGAGTGAAATTTTAGTATTATAATAATCAAGGAGGAAGCGCTAAACCCATAGGATTATACAGCGCCTGTGGAGGGAGGGGGTGGAAGGTATTCTGGCTTAATTCACGGAACTAGAACACAGATCCAGTTCCCTAGATCAAGAACCTCTCACTAGCATCAAGGAGCCTTCCTTAAGGGGTACAGAGTGAAAAATTTAGTCCACTGTGTACTTTGAAACGTAGTGTGTAAGGGGAGTGTCATGCTGTTTTTTCTGAGATGTGTGAGAGTTAATTGAAGCAGTCATCGGTTAATGGATGTGGTTGTTTAGGTGTGGGACCGGTGGTGGTCCGTCCTGAAATGGATGGGCGATCTGAAAATCGTCACACTGTAGGGAGAGAAGCCTGAAGCGTGGTCAAAAACGTGCGGAGGTCGGCTGTGTCAAATGAGTCGGACGAAACCTCGGTATCAGGAGCGGGCAATGAAATGCTACCAACAGAAGGTACAGGAGCATTAGAAAGGTCCGAAGGATGATGTAACAGTGAGGTAGAGTCCTAACAGGGTGCAACATCAGAAAGGGGCCCAGGAGGAGCAGTTTCATGAATCTGGAACTCCATGGTTATGTCACACCCTACCTTTCATGCCACTAAACCATTAATCTGGGATAGCAATCTCACATCTACCAAGCCACCTCAGTGGACAAAAGAGAGTGGTCAGATACCCGCCACAAAGCATACCTCCTCCTGGGTGACTAACCCTCCAGGTTAAAAATTTGAATAAATTTTATCTTTACCATTTCAAAAGATGGACTTTAAAGTAATCGCTTTCATTGTTCTGATAGCATCTGTAATTTTTTATGCAAGTTATATTATTATTATATTATTATTATTATTATGATAACAAAGAAATGCAATTTATAGATTTTTGTTGCGTTAAGTTGTTGTTGCTCTTGTTCTTCATATCATCATCGTACAATATTTAGGGAAAACACTAAGCCTATCATAAGGGTCATACAGTACCTGAGAAATGGAGGCAATTAAACTTGATCCAAGGAACGGAAGGAGAATTCCAGTTTCTTGGATCAAGAGCCATCCGCACACTAGCATCAAATATCATCCCTCGAGGAAAGTACACTTATATGAAATCGTTTCCATAGGTTGATGTGCTGGAGTCAATCGAAGTGCGTGAAGAGTCAATGTTGATGCAGTTATTGTACGAGGAAATCACTTCTTACAGGTTAACCAAGAGAAACCCTTCCGTATTCACGCCAATGTCCGTTCTGTCATTACAGGTGAGATTTTCCATACATTCACATATCTCCCTTTTTTTCTCCCATTATTTTATTCTTTACCTTTTTCTCCTTTCTCTCTGTTTAAACATAAATGTCCTTTGTCTTTGAACCAGACTGCATATAATGCTATCAAAGCAACTGTTAATTCATAAGACATTGTCTTGCCTGCTTCCATAGAGAACTACGTGCCATGCTCATGTCAACTATGGTGGGTCTTGGACTCTCCGCTGGCACAGCAGATGCCCATGTTTTCCCGTCATAACTTCTGTGTTTCGCCCTATGCCCTTCATGGCAAGACCATCACTTCAGTGGACATGGAAAAAAACTGGAACGATGCCCTGCGCCGCAAGAACTTCAGCTACCCAGCGGCCAGGAGACATCCCAAGGAACTTCTACACTGCCCCTCCCAGAATTCCTCTCTGCTCTGTGTATATCCTTATTACTATTTCATCATCCTGATTGGTGACAGGGACTCCTGAGATGATGGCATGTCACAGATTATATCTTTTAATTATGGAGTGTACAGAATTAGTTTTATTGTAATGATCTGTGGAATCTTTGTCTACAATAGCCTTATCCCTGATTTGTAAAATATGCCATTATTATCACCAAGATGGGGACAATAATTAATTAAAAACTCAGAAGGCCCATGTTAGTTCTTTCTTTGATATAATTATGCCTTAACATACTATCATGGTTATTTAATAAAACATTACATATCATTGCACAGAAATGCTAGGCTAATAAGTTTCATTTGGAAACATTTTTTACAAAGCGATACTGTATAAAAAAAATTGTTTATCCTTTTAAGCAGCAATACTCGGATGCTTTACAATAGATGTTGAACAAAACATCTGATACTAATCTTTCTTCACCATAGTCACTTAGTAAACATATTAATGTGTGCAGATTGGGAATTTATATTACAAGATTATTATAGTTTTACTGTTGAGTGACTTGCTGACACTATCAATTTATATTTTTTAGTCTTAGTACTGTACTGTACTGTGAAATTTGTTACCAGGGAATTTAATAATACTTAAACTTAAATTAAGCATTGCACATACCTACCTTCACATATCCCTACTCACAGCGCTCTATGACCCATACAGATTTAACACTAACTGATTATGATAAGCTTCAATTGTTTATTAACATTTTCGGTTATGGATGTCCTGGGAGAACTAGAACAACTTACTTGTCATGTATTTGGAAAGAAATACGATAATTGTTCTGTGCCACTAGTGTCAAGAGAGAAGCGTAGATTGGGTGGGAAAATAGGAACAGGCAGCGGTTAAACACTAGGCTTAATGGTTAAGGACTAGAAATTAGAATTAAGTACATCTACAAAAAATATATACTACAGTGGTACCTCGGTATACGTCTGCTTTGGAATAAGTACAACTTGGTATACATCCTGTTCGGACGTGAAAATTTTTGTTTGGTACACGACCTTTGTTTAGAATATGACTCGGGTGCTAGAAATTGTATGGGTCAAAATGAGTCATGACACCACGCGGCAACCTTGTCTACCTCTCTCTCGAGACAACGCCACGACTGCCCACTAGCGTCAGTACACCTTTGCTACCATTCAGGGAAACCTGCACTGTTACTCTGTGAGTTTACGTTTTTTCATATAAATTTTTTAGTAAATTCTTTAACCATGAGTTCTATGAAAGTTAATGAGAAGAGCCAAGCAATGAAGAAAATGGTTAGGATCACCATGGAGGTGAAAAAGAGAGGTGCTTTGAAGTGACCCCTGACATAGAGTTCACCCTGAAAGAGTTTTGGAAAGATCACTTTACTATTGCCCATTGCATAACTCTCATTGACAAAGCTAAGCAGGAAGTTCATAAAGAACAATGAACTCTGCTTGGAGGAATCTGTGGCCAGAAAGCAGTGGCTGAAAGGGACTCTGAGGGGTCTGAGGCTATGTCTATAGTGGAGGATACTGTCTCTCTGGCAGGTCCCTGGGTCTGAATGTGAGTGATGGTGATGTGAAGGAGTTAGTTGAGGGGCACAGGGAAGAGCTGACCACTGAGGAGCTGCAGGAACTTGAGAAGGAGGAGCACAAGACTAAGATGGATGCACTCTCTTCAGGTCAGAAGAAGAGGTAGAGGAAGCTCCTACTTCATTAATCAAGGAAATCTTTGCCAAATGGATGGACGTCAAAAACTTTGCAGAGACATACCACCCCAACAAAGCTCAAACAGGCCGTAATAGCATTGTCTGGAATGACCAGACAATGTCACATTGCCGAAACATCCTGAGGAGAAGGCAGAAGCAAAGTTCTTTGGACACATTAAAATTTTAGTAAAAGTCAAATCTGGTGAGCTTCAACCAAGTCCAAATTGGTAAAAGAGACAGAAAAGAGAAGGGGACTTTCCTTCCAAACAATAACATTTTCTCCTCCTCCCTTCTCAGCACTATCCTAGTAGGCACTCAACTCTTTTCAGCAATGTAGAGTGAGGTCAAATTTGCATTTATTTCAACTAATTCTTTTGTATTTATGTATGTATTTTGGTATTAAGCAGTGTTAAAATTACATATTTTAATATTAAGCAGTGTTTAAATTATTTTATACAACCCCATCAATGCATAATATGCCAATAACAATAGGATTTTTTTTCATGGGAGCAAATTAATCGTTTTCCCTATATTTCTTAAGGGAAAATTTGTTTGGTATACGTCCTGTTTGGTATAAGTTCAAGGTCCTGGAATGGATTAAGCACGTATACTGAGGTGCCACTGTAATTTTACTTAATTAAATATTTTGAAATATGAAACAGTGCAGCTTTATATGCATCAAACATCAAGATGATGGCCAACATTTCATTCTAGGGGATGGAGGCATGGGGAAGAGCATAAATATAATAATTCCATCAGAAGCATTGCACCAAGATCTACACTGGTCCACATTGATATCCCCCCTCTTTGAAACACACACAATATCCTTAGGGGATGATGCAAATGCTTTAGGGTAAATTTATGCAAAACAGCTGATGTGATGTTATATCTAACCACTATCAAAGGCATAAAGGAAGGGCAAAAGTGTACAAAAGTATAAAAACAAATTAAATAAAAGGGTATTCTTGCCCTATGATACTGTGTATATGGACTTCAGTAAGACCTTTGATAAAGCTCCACACAATAGCCTGATTAAGAAAGTAGCAGCACATGGAATAAAAGAAATTATTTCCTTGGTTGAGGAATAACTGACCAATAGGCAACAAAGGGTCTGCATTAATGGAGAGAAATTGGAATGGGGGACCTGTTACAAGGGGTGTGCCAAAGGGATCAGTGTAGTTCACAACCTACATTAACAACATTAATGGGGGAATAAATTTGCTGATAACACTAAAATAAACCCTCAAAGAATTTCTGATGTGGATACTGGAAGGCCTGGATAGGTTGATGCTGCTGTTAGAGAAGTGGCAGATGCAATTCAATGCAGACAATTATTATTATTATAATCAAAAAGAAGCGCTAAGCCACAAGGGCTATACAGCGCTGCAGGGTAGGGAAGGAAGCAAGGGAATTGGATGGCAGGAGGGAGGGGGGATGATCAGCAGGTTACAGAAAACAGCGGGGCAGGGGATAGTACGGGGGTAGAGGGTAGCAAGAGATACAAGTAGAAGGGCTGAAAGTATCAGAATTTGTGAAGTAAGTCAGTCGTTGTCAAAAAGTCAATAAGAGAGTCCGGATGAAAGGTGGGTCCATCAGCGAGAAGGGAAGGTAAAGAGAGAGCAGCGGGGCGAAGACGACGACAGAGGTAAATTCTGCGTGCTCGTTGATAAAGTGGGCAGTCCAACAGAATGTGGCTGACTGATAATGGAGCTTGGCAATTCTCACAGAGAGGAGCAAGAGCCTCTCCATGAGATATCCATGAGTAAGACGAGTATGGCCAATGCGAAAGACGGGAGAGAGTAGTCTCCCAACCTCGACACTGGTGATAAGAAGACGGCCAGTAACCTATACTCGGTTTAATAGACTGAAGTTTGTTGCCGAGCATAGTAGACCAACGTTGTTGCCAACGGGTGTGAAGGTGGGAAGATATACAGCAAAATAGTCCGTACATGGAATACCTCTGTAAGAAAACTGGTAGGTCATGTACTGCTGACGCGCAGCAGTGTCTGCCTGTTCATTGCACTGTACGTCAACATGACAGGGACCCAACAAAAAACAATATCTTTATGCTTAGTAAAGATGCAGGCGTAGCCAAAGTTGGATACGGAGGACTAAGGGGTGAGGTGTATCAAATTTTTGTATAGCCTGTAAAGCACTAAGGGAGTCTGAGGACAACCACAAATGATGACACAGGCATAGATGCAATACGGATAAGTGCTGTAAGGATGGCATATAATTCAGCAGTAAAAATAGCTGAAGATAGTAAATGCCCTTGTCGACGCTGTCCCGGAACACTGCTGCGAATCCCACGCCGTCAGAAGATTTGAGCCATCTG